GGGGGGGGGGGGGGGGCCGGCGCAGGGAAACGAGGCGCCACACCGTTTTCGGGACCTTTTCACAGACGAGCGCCCAGCCCCTGGTTCTCGGAGGGGGGGATGTCCTTGCGGATAGATAAAATCCGGATTATAATTGACGGGGATCCCTTGCTAACTCGGGTACAGCAAGTGCCCCGGACTTTGGGGCCGGGCCCTCTACCTCTCTCTCTCTCTCCCCGGAGCCGGGGTCCTCTCTCATTCCCGGTGTCTGCTCACGAGGGACAGGCAGACATGCCCCTCGGCACTTCGCCGGGCCCGCGTCTGGCCGGGCACCCCGCCTGACGGGGACAAGCGGCGCTCCCGGCTCCGGCAGTGGAGGGGGCCACAGGGGCAGGGTGACATAGTGTCGGATACGTGTCTTCGGCAGCAGAGTCTGCTGCCGGCCCGGGTGCACCTGGCCCTGCGTTCCCATGCAATCTCCAAACGCGTGTGTACCGGGATGGGCGTGCGCCCGCCCGCCCGCCCTCCCCCCCGGCGTTCTCCATCTGTCATGTCGGGTTTGTGCGGGCGGGCACGCGAGCGTCTGCCGGCCCGCCCTGGTGAGGGGGCCGGCCGGGGGCGGGGGGTGGAGGTGATGTCTCTCTCTCTCTCTCTCTCTCTCTCTCTCTCGCTCGTCGTTAGGCCACTTCGTCTCCCTTTCTTCCTCCGGATCCACCGCCGTGGCCCAGCGTGTTTCGGGGAAAATAGCAGCAACGCCACCCCGGGCGTTCAGCGAGGAGACTGCCCCGTTGTCTTCTGTGGCCGGAGCTGGCCCCGGCTGCGGGCATGATCTTGCCGACTGGGAATGCTCCTCGTGTGAGGTGGCTTTCCAGGTATTCCGGCCGTTGGCGTGCACCTTCGGCGACAGGCTTTGTAAACTCGCGGGCCCATCCGTCCGGTGGCGGTCATCGGCCTCGTCTCGCTCTGCGGGGAGTCATGATGTCACCATCCCTGGGGTTGTCATTAATGCTCTCGGCCCTCTTGGGGCCGGCGCACACGCACGAACCCTTCGACGCCGGCCCCGTGTAGGAAAGGGCACACGGCTCCGGGCTACCGGCCGGGGAGGATTGTCCCCGCCTCTGCCCTGGTGCCGGGGGCAAAGGGGGGCCGACCGGCGCGGGGAGATATGCCTCATCAAAGTGCGCGTTCCCCTCCAGGCTCGCCCTAGGTGTCGGGTTCTAGTACCAAGGCTGGAGGACCGAGGGTTTGGCCTCGCTTTCGGTACGTAAAAAGTATGCGCCCGTTCTCATTCGAACATGTGTGTGTGTGTGTGTGTGTGTGTCTGGCCGTGGCTGTGGCGCCCGGAGATGGTGTGCCGGCGGCTAGGGTGTGTTCTGGGCGCCGGTGCCGAAGGAGGGGGGGGCTTGTTTCCGGAAGGATGCGAGGCCCTCCCCGCCCCCCCCCCCCGCCCCCCGGCCCCGGCCCCGGCCCCTAGCGTCTTGTGCGGCGGAGTCGCCGTGTCTGGGCGCCTTTTCCGGTAGAAAATTGACAAGCCCGGACTACCCGGCCACACTGGGAGGATGGTTGCCGGGGGGGGGGGGGGCGCGAGGGGCGGGGAGATTGGCAGAGGCCCAGGCGCGAACATGGTGCCGGCAACGCCCCTCCCTGGGCGCCTTTCGCGCCCTCCGGCCAGGGCTAGCCCCAGCAGGGGGAGAGAGAGAGAGAGGGGCCAGCGGGCTGGCTCCCCCTCCGGCGGAGGCTGTGAGATCCCTTCTGGAAAAGGTCGTTTTTTTCCCGTCCCCATGTTCCCTTCCCATTGTTCCCCAGAAGGGGGGAAGACGGACGAAGAGGCCGGCGAGGGGGAGGCCCGTAGGCCGGGCCGGGAGCTGGGCCCGGTCCCGGTCCCCCGGCGCGCCCTCCGCTGGCTCGCCGTGCGCCTCCCGCTCTTGCGGGGAGAGGCCGTTGCACGCTTTGGTGCCTCCCCCTAGTGGAGGTACGCGACGCCATATCACCAACCTCCCCGGAGGGGTGTACTATATCCCACCACCCCCTGAAGCGTCTGCTCGCACCTGTACGTCACCTCCTACCACCCCGCCTTCTTCTGGCAACGTGCGGGCTCGCATCCTCCCCCTTTCTTTCTTTCTCTCTCTCCCTCCCTCCCCCCCCTCTCTCTCTCTCTCCCTCTCTCCCTCTCTCGCGGCATCGTGTGCCTGACGCGCCGTCCTCCCCCCTCTCCCTGTTGCGCACCGCACCATAGCGCTTCTCCTCCCTCTCCCACCTACCTCGCGCCTCCAACTTTTCCTGTCCGGCCCCCGCACGACAGCCCCGCCCGGACTGCTAGTCCCCGCTTTTCTATGTACGTCCCTGGCCCGACCTTCCGGTCCACACACCTTCTCCTCCCCTCTCCACCATGGCCTCGTGTGACTCTCTAACGCGCACCCCTTCCTTGCCCATCTGCCCCCGTCCGGTTCCTAGAATGAGCTCGAAGCGTTCTACAGGGGACACTTCTCTGAGCGGCAAGAAACAGCCCAACGTCGTGCGTCCCTATTCGCACCCATGTCTGGCCTCGTTCCCTCCCTCTCTCTCTCTCTCTCTTTCTCTCTTTCTCTCTTTCCCTCTTTCCCTCTTTCCCCCTCTTCTCCTCTCTCTGTCTCCTCTTCCTCCTCCTCTTCCTCCTCCTCTTCCTCCTCCCCCCCTCTTTCATCCCTACCAGTGTCTGATTCCTCTTCTTCGCCCCTCCTCCCGGACTGCCCCATCCAGGATGAGTACCTGCTGAACAAGCTCATGGGTCTCGGCTTCAAGCGCAAGAATGTCGTCCACGTCCTGCAGGCCTCGGACAACGAGTTCGATGAGGCCCTGAACATGCTTCTCGATGACCCGACTGCCAGCACCCCCACCAAGGAGTCTGCCCCGGCCCCGGCCCCGGCCCCCACCCGCCAGGCCGCCGTTCTGGTTCGTCCCCAGTGCTAGCACCTTCCTCTTGTTTCTCCATCCCCCCCCCCTCTCTCTCTCTCTCTCTCTCCCCTTCCCCCTCCACCTCTCTCCGGTCTGACATGCCTACCGCCCCTGTGCCCAATTGCCTACCCTCGCCTTGTCTTGGCATCGTACAGCGCATTGGCTCCAAGCCCCCGGCCGCCACGACTCCGGCCGCCCCGGCCAAGGCCGCCTCTCCAGCTGCCACCCCGGCCGCCTCGACGAAGGCCGCCTCCCCCGCTGCCCCCTCGGCTGCCGCCGCCCAGCAGCCGACCGGCTCTCAGCAGCAGGCCAAGACTCGTCCCGCTGCGGCCGGGCGCACTGCTGCTACCGCCTCCACTGCTCCGGCCGCTGCCCAGTCTCAGCAGCCTGCCAGCGCCACCTCTGTCCTGCCCGCCACCGCCCGCTGGGGCGAGCAGGCCAAGGCCGCCGGTTCGTCCACCGCCTCCGAGACCGGGTCCTCCGCCCAGGAGAGCGCCGACACCTCCACCAAGGCCACCGGCGAGAAGACTTCCACCAAGGCTGCCGCCGCTTCCGCCGCCAAGGCCGGTCCTACTGTCGTGCGTGGCGCTCCATCCCCTCGCCGATGCTCCCCCTGCCCTCCTTCCGCCCCCGCCCCTGCCCCCCGGTCCATGCGCACCACACACAGACACATGCAGGCTCTTCCGGATTCGGCTAACTCGGGCACCCCCTTCCCTCGCTCCCCCGCCCCCCCCCACCCCGCCCCCCACCCCTTCCTCCGTGTGCTTCCCATCGGCCACAGGCCGCTGCTGCTCCCCTGGCCGAGCCCGTGGACTTCACCTTCCCCGCTGGTTACAAGGCCGAGGCCCTGCTCGATGGCCACTGGCTGCCGGTTGTCGTCAGCGAGGCCACCGCCACCGGCTACAATGTGGTCTTCCTGGGCTACGAGCACGCGGCCACCGTTCCCTCGACGCACATTCGCCCCCTGCAGCTGATCAAGGGCCCTTCCTTCGTGGTCAGCCAGCTGGTGGAGGCTTGCTTTACCCAGGACCAGACTTGGTATTCCGCCATCATCAACGCGGTTCTCCCGAACAACCTTTACAGTGTCGTGTACGCCGAGTACGGCAACCAGGAGAACCTGCCGGCCGACCAGATCCGCACCATTTCTTCCTTCTCGCCCACTTTGTCGGCGGCTGATACCACCAAGCAGGCCGCCGCTGCCCCTGCCGTTGGTGCGTATATGGGCGCACATGCTCCTTGTTACTTCTTCTGCTCGGTCTTTCGCTCCTTCCTCTTTCGCGGCCTCCCGTGCCTTTGGGATTGCCCCTGCCCGCCGCCGCGCCTCCCCCTCCCCCCCCCGCTCCCCACTCTCACCACCTCACCGCTCCCTTCCTTTGCCCCCCCCCCGGCCAACGTAGTTTCTTCCACCTACGCTGTCCACGACACCGTTGAGGCTTGCTACACCGCCGATCAGAAGTGGTACCAGGCCACCATCGTCGCGGACCACGGCAACGGGACCTATCGTGTCATGTATGCCGGCTATCTGAACGAGGAGGACCTGCCCGAGTCGGAGATCCGCCCGATTTCCGGGGCCTCCGCCTCGCTCGGCATGCCGGCCGTCATCCCCGGGCAGCAGGCCCCCTCGGCCCCGGCGCAGCAGCAGCAGCACACCTACGCCGTCGGCGAGTATGTCGAGGCCCTTTTCTCTGACGACAACATCTGGTACCCGGCTCAGATTACCGACGTCTCGGGTGACTCGTACACCGTCCTCTACGTGACTTACGGCAACAAGGAGGTCCGTCCGCCCAGCTGCTTGCGGCCGCTGCCGGCCTCCGCCGGTGATGCGGCGGCCGCCGCCCTTGCCGGCAGCATGATGCCCATGCCGGGCTTCACTGCCATGGTGGACCCCCCGATGTCGGTGGCCCAGACGACTGGCGGTGCTTCTCGCCAGCCCCAGTCTTCCAGCGAGGTCCACGTCAACCAGAATGTCCTTGCGTGCTACGTCGATGGCCACCTCTACCCGGCCGTCATCACCCATGTCCTTGAGAACGAGAAGGGTGTCACTGTGAACTACCTGGATTACGCCGACAGCGGGGACCTTCCCCTCTCCGCCATCTACTTCATGTGAGGGGCGGATGGGAGTGTCTATGTGCGTGCGTGTACATATGCATGCACATGTGTGCAACGCGGGGACCACCACCGGTCCCGCGCCGTGCGCTGTGTGCCTGGCCATGCGTACGCCCGCGCCGACCCTCCCGCCTCCCTTTTCTCAGATGTGCGGCCGCGCATGCGCGCGCGCGCGTTGTGTCCTTGCGCGGGGAGAGCGGGCGAACGGCTTCTCCCTCTCCCTCCTGCCTTGTCGCTCCTCCCTCCCGCACCCCTCTGGCGCGCGCGCGCGCGCGCGCAAAGAGGTCACCCCCTTTCAATACCATTTCTCAGTCTCCAGCTCCGCTTCTGTGTTTTGTGTGTCTCTTTCGCCACCCCCCCCCCCTGCCCCATGCACTATCGGAGACCAGGCAGCCTTCCCCGTGCTTCCTTCCCTGGCTCCCGGTAGTTTGCTTGGGCTCGCTTCGTTTTTTCTCCTTTTTTTTCTCCCCTTCTTCGGATTGAAAAAGGAGAGGGCGAAGGCACCTACGCCGTTGGTGCCGTCCTTTATTTTTGACAAAGAGTGGCGTGTGTGTGGGGGGGGGGGAGAGAGAGAATGCGTGTGATGTTTCTTCAAAGACATCTCTCCCTCGGCACCGCCCTTCTCCTTGCCCTTCCTGCTTCTTTCACAGGGCACGGCTTGTCTTTGCGCGGCCGCCTTTTTTTTTTTGCCCACCGCTCACTCGGCACTGGCCGAGGTGGTGGAATTGGTGAAAGCGCTGTCGGCGCCGGCCTCGCCCTCATCATTTGTGGCCGGGCCATCGGCGTCAGCCTCGCCAGCGTGGCCGGTCGAGGTCAGGGTGATCACCACCCCCGGAGCGAAGGTCTGCTCGGCGGCCTCCTGGCTCTGGAGCCACTCCAGGGTCAGGCGCTCACGGGCCAGCTTGAACTCAAGCTCCTCAATCTTTCGCATAGACCGTTCGATCGGGGTCTCGGTGTCTGATGGAGGTGCACATTGGCCGGAAGGGGGGAGGGGGTGAGAGCGAGCGAAGGGCAGAACTAGGGCGGGAATGGTGATTGATATAGCCGCAAAAGAGGTGGCATTTTGAGGTTTGCCCCAGTCCTGAAGCAGTCATGGGACGCACACTTGAGCAGCTTATCCTTCTTCGGCAGAGCATAGTCCCCGAGAGGCCCCGGGGCATAGCCCGCCCCGGCGGCATACTCCTGCCAGACAGACTGGAAGGCAGCCTTGCGCTGGGCCTTGGCCGCCTTGTAGAGGGCCTTCTCAGCCCGGAGGGCCTCCTTGTCGGCCTTCAGGCCAGCCTTCTCGGCCCGAGCCAGAGCCTTATCCAGCTTGACATAAGTTTGCGCCAGGGCGGGGGCGGAAACAGGGACAGCGGCAGCGCCGGCATCGACCACAGCCACCTGGGCAACTGGGACCTCGTCGTCCGAGATCGAGGCAGAGGCCACGATCTTGGTCCCCTCGAGAGACACCGGCTTCCGAGCCTTCTTAGCGGCGGCAGCCTCTGCCTTGGCGGCCTGCTTCTCGGCCTTGGAGTACTTCTCGGCCTTGGAGTACTTCTCGGCCTTGGAGTACTTCTCGGCCTTGGCATGCTTCTCGGCCTTGGCATGCTTCTCGACCTTGGCATGCTTCTCGACCTTGGCATACTTCTCAGCCTTGGCGTACTTCTCAGCCTTGGCGTACTTTTTGGCGGCCTTGTCGGATGAAGACTTCTTCCCGGCGCTCACAGCCGTCGAGGTGGATAGGAGCAGCAAGGTTGCGAAGACCAGCGCCAAAACCAGCACCCGGCGGAGGGGGAACGAGGTAAGCGACGCCATGATGACGGAGATAAGGGGCAAGCAGGGGGGGGGGGTAGGAGGGAAATGCGGAGAAAGGAGGCGGGAGGAGGGGACAGGGGAAAGGGATTGCGTGTTTCAAGGGAGAAGAGAGGCAGAGGGGATTCCGTGGTATTGGTCTCCTGCGGGACGCCCGGTGCGCGCCGATGGGGAGAAACAAAAAGGAGGAAGAGCATTGGCTTTCCGCTTGTCCAAATCCCAGTGGTCAATGTGCACATCCATAGCTCCTGCCCGCCACTCCTTCCCCCCCGCCCCCCCCAGCCTGGGCCTAGCCAGGTCCGGAGCCGGACATGCGATCTTGGGGACATCCTGCACACGCAGGTCCATTTGGCTGCGATCGGAGCTTCGTGTATCTTTGCCCCGAGCGTTGTGACCTAGACCTGTGCGATCAGCCGAATGCGTGCCGGCCGCACCCAAATATTGAATCATGATTCGCTGGGGGTCCCTGTCTCCCCCCTGTGAACTGGACAAGGCCCGTCAGAGGGCATGGGTGAACTGCGGAGGGAGTGAGGACACTTCTAGCCCCCCCCCCCTGGCAGCCGGGGTGACTGATTCGACGCGTGTCGGCCTTCCGCTTGAGAACATTGTCCCCCGCCCCCACGGGTATCCAGGTGGAAATCGTCCTCACTGACGGGAATGAGGGGCAAGCGAGGGGGAGGGGGGGAAAGGGGAACAAGGAAGGTCGCGCGCAGGCGTTTTTTCCTTGGAACGCGTGCGGGCCAGCACACACCGACGCACGCACACACACACACACACACACACACACACACACGCACCCCGCAGGAATGGCCAGCATGCCGCCCCGCGAGCCGACAACAGGGACACCAAACACCAAGCCCGGGCTGGTGTCAGAGGGCCTTGCTTGCTCCAACACCTCCATAGTCACATGTCGATTTGGCTGAACACGCCGGAATTCTCGTGCCCGAGGAGGGTTTAGATGCGCTACCGCGCGAGGCCTCCCGGAGGGTTTCCCCCTCGTTCTGAGTCCGGATGGGGGGCGGCTGAGCGGGCGAGGTCGTTTCTCGCTCTGCACCAGGGGTGTGGGCCAGGATGGGGGTACACCCTTGTTGACAATGGTGACCTGCGGCTCTGCTCCCACCCGGGCACCCGGTGTCCCTTGGTGTGCTCGGACGTCCCCGCCTGAATGCCTGTTCGCATGGCTCCCCCCCTGGGGGGGAACCCTTGCGGGAGGCCTCAGCCTGAGGTCTGGCGGTGGGCTTCAATTTCGGCATGCCTGTTGGGCCTCCACCTCTCGGGGGATGCCTGTTTGTGGCACGGGCGCTAGGCTCCAGTCGGCCCATGCCCGGACGGGGCTCGCACCACGGGGAGCCAATGCGACTGGCCTCTTGTGCGTCTGCAACTGGGTTCTCTTGTTCGCGGAGGCGTCCCATGCGCAGGGGCACCTTGCCGACTTTCGCCTTCTCCAATGCTTTCTCTCTCTCTCTCTCTCTCTCTCTCTCTCTCTCTCTCTCTCTCTCTGTCGGCCTCTCGCGCTCGGCTTCTCTGTCTCAAGGGCTCCCACCCAGGGCCGGGGTCCATATGGCTGGTTTCCCTCTCCCTCCAGACTGGCATCCTCCCCGGCCAGCACTCCCCCCCTCCCCCTCTTTGCCCCTCCACCCTGTGCGCACACACACCTGCCCCCTTCCTCTCCTCCACCTGCCCTGTCTATCCCTCTCCTCGGGCGGTCGGACGCCGTGCACCGCCCCCTTTTCTCGCCTCCGTTCGGCGCCCGACACGCCCCGTCGGGCCATGGGCACATGCGGATGCGCGCCCCCTTATGCATGTTGCCCGTGTGAGCTGTGCCATTTCCTGGCCGCCACGAGGCATTGTCTGGTGTTGCATCGAAACGCCCACACATGCAGGAAGGCGCTGTCCTTCCCTCCCTTCCCTCCCTCCCCCCCCCCCTCCATAGCCTGTTTCCCTCTCTACTTCCTTCTCCCTGGCGCATGGAGATGGCGTCCCCGCTCCTCCTTCTAGTTTGCATACGCAAAGCATCCCCCCTCCATCCTCCTTCCATACCCGACACTGACGCTTCCCCCCTCCCTCCCTCCCTCCCTCCCTCCCCGCAGAGCGCGTGATAGCCCTCGATTCGTCGACCGGCCACCCCCCTCGCACGCTTCCAAGCACCCGAACATCATGTCGGCCAAGTCTGTCTCTTCCACCATTGTACGCGCCCTTGCGCATGGCCGATCCCCCTGTCTTTCCTTCTCCTGTGGGCCTCCCACCGCTGACACTCCGCTCTTCCCTCCCCCTCTCCTGGTGTGACCGCAGCGCCCCTTCCAACTGCGTGGTCACGCCCGTCCCCTCACGCACGTTCGCTTCAACAATGACGGCGACCTGCTGATGACCACCTGTAAGGAGGGCACCTCCCTCCTGTGGTCGTCCTACACCGGTGAGCTTCTCGGCTCGTACGAGGGCCACGGTGGTGTGGTCTGGTCTTTCGACTTCACCTCCGACTCTCGCAAGATCATCACCGCCTCTGGTGACATGACCTCCCGCCTGTGGGACACTGAGACCGGCAAGGAGCTGCACATGATCAGCGCTCCCGTACGTCGTCCGTCTGTCTTGCTTCTTCCCTTCATTCCGTTCCAAAGGGCTGCGGCATTGGTGCCTGCTCGGCGTGCATGTCGGACTGGCTTTGCTTGTCGGCACATGTGCACGCCCACGCCCACGCCCACGCCCACGCCCACACAAGTGTGCGCACATGCCGGTGTCCGCATTGCTCACTCCCTTCCCTCTTTCCCTCCCTCTCCCTCTCTGGATTGTCCTACCTGTATGTGTATAGTCCACCGTCAGCGATGCCTCTTTCTCGGTCGGCAACAAGATGTTCTTCATCGTCACCGTCAACAACATGAACCAGCACTCGAGCATTGTCATCTACGACGCCACCTCCTGTGCGTATTTTTCCTGCTCGCCCTCGACTGCGCTCGTCGCCTGCACACGCACACGCACACAAGCGCGCATTTCCGACCTTCCCCCTTCGCCTTCCGTGTCATGTCCCCTCTCGTGCGCGCGCCTTCTCACCATACCTGCCCTTCCGCCGGGGCGGCTCGCCTTCGTAGTCGAGCTCATCAACCGCATCGAGCTCCCCCGCGACCTCCGCTTCACCTGCGCGCTGTGGGCCGACTGCAACACCCGCATCATTGCCTCTCTGTCTGACCACACCATCGTCAGCTACAACGTCCGGGTACATGCCCATCTTTAGCCGCATCGCTCCCTGACCACGGCCGCCATCTTTCTGTCGTACTGACCCCTTTTGTGCCTCCCCTCTTCTTCACCCTCATCATCTCCTCCAGACCGGCGAGACCACCGGCCAGGCTACCACCGCTCACAAGGATACCATTACCGACATGCAGATGTCCCACGATGGCACCTACTTCATCACCTCCTCTCGTGATATGACTGCCAAGGTACACTTTCGTCCTAACGGCGCTCTCCCCCCCCCTGTGTCTTCCATGTCTAACTCTCTCTCTCTCTCTCTCCTGGCTTTTTCTTCCGGCTTTCCTCCCTCCACCATGTGGGCGTGCTTCACCTGCAGATCTTCGACATCCATGAGCTCTCGCAGATCCGCGTCTACACCACCGATTCCCCCCTGAACTCGGCCTCCATCGACAACATCAAGGGCCACATTTTCCTTGGTGGTGGTCAGGACGCCAGCCAGGTGACCACCACTCACGCCCGCTCCGGCAAGTTCGAGACCCGCATCTACCACGAGGTTCGTATACGGCCCCGTGCCTCGTGCACTGTCTGCCTCCCTTGCTCTTCGCTCTTTTCCCTTTCTCTGTCTTCCCCCCCCCCCCTGCCGCTTGGCCAAACGGGGAGGAGGGCAATCTCCCCGAGAGCGCGGCTAGCAGAGTGAAGCCCGCCCCCCCCCCCATCATCACTCTCCCTTCTGATTCCGCTGCTGCTGCCGCCTCTTTCCCCTTCCCATTGTGCTGACATGTGCCGGCTCTTCGTGCCCGATTCTCCCCCCCCCCCCCGCCCCCGCCCCCGGCCCTCAAAAAGGCCCTTGCCGAGGAGCTCGGCCGTGTCCGCGGTCACTTCGGTCCGATCAACACCCTGCACGTCTCGCCCCAGGGTACCCACTTCGCCACTGGTGGTGAGGATGGTTTCGTGCGTCTGCACGAGTTCGACCAGAACTACCATGACTTCAAGATCGAGTTCGATGAGAACTTCGAGCCCTCTGCCGATGTCAACTAAATGCGCGCATGCTTTCTGCGGCGTGTGCAGCCTCTTGTGCCCTTCTCCCCGCCTCTCTCCCCTTCCTTCCCCGCGCGCCGTGCATGGGTGTGCGTGCGCGTGTGTGTGTGTGCGAGGGAGACAAGGCCATGCGCTGTTGTACATATGCGCGCACGCGCAAGTCCCCCAGCCCCTGGTGAGGGAGAAGGAAGTCCTTGCCTGCTGGGTGCACCCCCCTCCCCCCCCCCCCCCCCCCTGTTCCTTCTCCCCTCTCCCCTGCACGGGAAGGGGCGAGCCTTTGGGGGGAGGGGTGTGTGCACGCGCCCCCGTCCGCGCATTGTGTCCCCCAATCGTACTTGGTATGCATCTTCCCCCTCTTCCCTTGCGAGAGACACGGCTTCTTCCTGCGTTGCCTGGGTTCATCTTTCCTTTCTTTTTCTCACACCCCACTCCCTGCTTTCTTCTCCCTCCTTCGACTGGCGCGCCTCTCCCCCCCTCCCCCTCAGTTTGCACCATATATAAATCTCACAGTATTGTGTGTCCACTCCCCTCTGCGCGCACCTCCTTCTCTCCCTCTCTCCTTCTGTCTCTTCCCAAAACTCAAAAATACATTCAAATCTTCCTGCTCCCCCTTTCTCGGTTTGTGTGAGGGATCTTCATCTGGCCCTTTTTTCCTGCAGCGTTGTTGTCCACGGCCTTGCTCCCCCCCCCCCTTGCCGGAGTGTTCTGGCATTTGTGTTCCCTCGGCCAGAGTGTCCTCCTTCTCTGCCGGAGGTTTAAATATCGAAGTTTTCATTTCGTCAGGTATATCCAGTTACATGTGTGAATGTGCCGCTTCTCCTGGGCGGGCCCAATTTTTTTCGCCAGGCTCGGGCGCCGCCCCGCTCTGGCCGGTGATCTGGCCGGGCACCTGGCACCCGTGCCGGCTGGTCTCGGGCTGATATCATGCACGTGATACACAATCGCATGAAACATCATGGCCCTTCGATTCCCTCAACCTGGCTGGGGCTCCCCGCACAGGTGTGAGGGGAAACGAGGGGGGCCCGAGGTCAGGGTGGGGGCCGGCACCCACCACCGGCCAATAATAGGAGGATGGGGGGGGGGGGGGGGAAAACGGCGACCTGACGACAAAGTGATGACATGGGTCTGGCTTTTCTGCGGAGCAGGCTGGCGCGCGGGCTCGGGGGGGGAAGGGAGCATGGGCATGGCGCCATTCGGCCGCAGCCGGCATCCCTCGTGAAGTTGCTTGCGGGCGTATGTTGGTTATCAGCCTGTGTGTGAGGGTGGGTGTTCTCCCACCTGGAAGCGTAATTTGTCCAGATCAGCTCACTCCCGCCAGTGGGGAGGGGGGGGGGGGGAGTGGGCTTTTGCGGGGTTCCGTCCTCTGCCACCCTTGAAGTCAACAAGGAGACCCAAACGCCTGTGCGCCTGTGTTGGGCGCAAGCTTCGCCAGGTTGATCGGCCGAATGGATGATCGGAAAACTCCATGGCTTTTGCAGCTTGCTCGGAGTCTCTTCTTCGCGCTTCGTCTTTTCCCAGGCGCGAGGTGTGTCAGCACACACGCACACACACGCACACTCACACACACATACACACACACACACACGCGCACACACACACACACATACACACATTATGTCCCTGCGCGGGGATAATCATAAGAATGGCAACCTGCTAATGTCAATCTCCCTTTCGCTTTTGTTTCCATCCCTCACACTCCCGTGTGTATCTACAAACTGGCCATGAGGGCTGGTGGTTTTCTCAAATGCTCGCACACCATTGTGGCAAGCCGCCCAGGCATGCGGGCAATGGCCCAGTCTCCGCCACTCCCTCCCTCTCTGGTTGCTCTCCCTCTCTCCTTCTCCCTGGCTTTTCCTTCCCCCTCTGCGCTCCTCTCCATTCCCGGCTCTTCGCCCCCCCTCCCCCCCCTTCGTGCCCAAACCGCCCTCCGTGTTCTGGCGCGTTCGCGGCGGGCGTGACTCTCCACTTTCCTACCTGCGTCCTTCGCGCACGCAAGCTCGGAGCCCGGTCCCCCCGCCCTCCCCCCCTCCCCCTTCGTTCCTGGAAAGGCCTTCGCATCCTCTGTGAGCGACCAGGCTGACTCCCCCCCCTTCAGCCCCCGGGGCTTCTTTGCTGTCGGCACAGCTGTTGCTCAATCATGGCACACAGCCACCAGCAGTCCCCTTACTACACTCTGTCGACTCTGCCACCGTTGGAGTTCGACATGGAGGATCTGGGCAGCTACTACAGTTACCCCATGGCGCCTGGGCCTGCGGCTGACTCTCTCGGACCCCTGAATCCCCCATACCATGATGCATTGGGGGAATCCAACCCCGGAGGGGTGCATGTACCACAGCAGCCACCACCACCGCCGCCGCCACCATCCGCGGTGTCCAGCTCCGGACCGACTCCCTCGCCTCTGCCTCCCTTCTCTTCGCCGACAGCCCTCGGGCCACACGAAGTCGCCCCCCCACCGACCGGCCCGGAGTCCCTGGGCTCCAATGAAGGTACGCCCGGTCCTCCTTCGCCCGCTTCCCCCCCCCCCCCCCCCGCCTCCCTCTCTGTCCTTCTCACATGGTGGGCGTTGCTTTTCCACACCGATTGACAATGGTTCACTCCGATTTCTCCTGCCCCCCCCCTTCCCTTGTCCCTCCCTTCGTGGCTGTGATGCAGATCCTGGACCGTATGCACAGGTGGGACCGATGTACCCTCCGCCAGGGCCGAGCCATGGCGCCCCGGAGATGGGGCACTTTGCGCGGGACCATCCTCCCCCGACTGGCCCGGGGCATGTGTCATCGCCTCCGCGATCACCCACCGGGACACCGGCCCTCTCGTCGGCACATCTCCATTCTCACCATATGGTCTCGTCGCATGGGCATCATTTGGCCCCAAGCCACGGACACTCCCTCTCCTCGGGACCCTCCCCTGTGTCGGTCCCGATCCACGGCAGCCACCATGCCCATCTCTCCTCGGCGCACGGGCATTACCACCTTCCGGCTGGCGCGCCTCCGCCCCTTGGGCCTGTTTATTCCCCGGCCGATCCGATGGTTCACCAGTCACATCCTCAGCCTCAAGGGGGGCCATCGGCCGTGCAAGACCCCCCTCCGCCCCCTTTGCCAAATGGTAAGTGCCCAGTGGGCCTTTCAGCGTCATGCTGCATGGACGATTCCCCCCCCCCCCCACACACACATTCCTCTGACACCTCCTCCTGATATTGATGCATGCACACACACACACACACACACACACACACACGGACACATGGGCACACCTACTACCCAGTTACCCGGCCCGCGAGCACGCGAGAGGATCCGAAGCGCCGGCGCGCGGGCGCCCCGGCCAATGGCAGCGTCACCAAGCGGAAGCCCACTCGCGGCGCCGGGGCAATGGCCTCCGGGCGAAGTGTGTCCCAGGCGACGACCTCCGGAGTGGCTCCCTCTTCGCCGAGCCCGTCCTCGGAGCCCAGCTCTCCGGGCCCCTCCTCCCCGGGCCCGGGATCTGACGGTCGAGCTGGCGAAGCTGGCGACACTCTGTCGAGCTCCGGGGCCGTGGTACCGCTGGAGGTGTTGCGTAAGCGGAACTCCGAATCCTCGGCTCGCTATCGGCGGAAGAAGGCCGCCGAGTTTGACTCCCTGCGTCTGGAGTTGCAGGGTGTGCAGGATCATCTGCGTCGGGTGCAGGAGGAGCGTGATGCACTCGAGCGCCAGGTCATCATTCTCGGCGAGCGAGTGGCCGAAAAGACTCGTGCTTACGATCAGCTGTTGGCGGTGTTGGCCGGCAGCGCTGGGCTCGGTCCGACGGTTTCACCGAGCGGCAGTGCCGGCCTGCTCTCCTCTGAGGAGGGTGCCGCCCAGGGGCCAGCCTTTCCCCCGGTGGCCCCGGCAGCGGCCCCAGCGGCCGGACACATTCTCCGCCCAACCGGCAAATAGCCAGCTCCTCGGATCACCTTCCTGTTCCTGGCGCGGTTCTCCTTTCCCGAACTGCGAATTGGCCCTTTCTTTTTTTTTTGTAGACAACCTCCCTCCTCTTGCCCGCCTTTCCCAGCGGGGCACTTTCCCTCCTCTTGCCCGCCTTTCCCAGCGGGGCACTTGTGTGACTGGCTCGCCTGTTGGTCCACCCCCTCCCCTCCCTTCCCCTCCCCTCCCCTCCCCTCCCCTCCCCTCTGTCCTTGAGTATGCCCCTGGGTGCCGATGTTGGCGCTATATACACTATGCATCGCATCATCTTCGTCTGCCTCCTGCTGTCAAGGCATTGCATTCCTCCCTGCCTCCTTGTCCTCCTGGTCTCCCGGTTGTTCGTGCTCTCTTCGTGCTGCGTCATGGCGGGGGAGGATGGGGGCGGGGCGAGAAGAGGGCCTCCCGGAGCCGGGGCCGTGAGGAGCGCCACGAGCAGGGCGCGGTGCATGCCAGGACGAGACATTCCCGCATCCTCCTGTGATATGATCACATGTCCACAGCGATAGGGCCGCGGGGTGTTCTCTTGGCCCTCCTCATGCTGTTGGCCGCGGCGGCCCGAGCCGGCCAACAGCATGGGGAGTCGGTAGGACCCGCCGAGGGGAGGTCTGTCCTCCTCCGGCTCCTCCTCCGACGGAGCGGGCACGGCCCGCATGCAAGCTTGGACGCCGGGGGGGGGCGGCGGGGCCAGTTCGAGAAACTTCCTGCCCTTGGCACTGTCAGCGGCGCGCATGTTAAATTGTCCTGAGCCCCCCCCGGCCCCTGTCCCCGAGGGAGGGCTGTGCATTCTAAACCCCCCGCCCTGCTCGCTGGGTGGCGTCGTGCCAGTGGTCCGGAGGGGTGGTTGGGGCAGCGGTCTCAGTGCCGCGTCCCCCCCCCCCCGGGGTCGTCAGGAAGGGGGTGCATCCCACTCTTGCCCTTTTCCGTTTCAGCATGCCAAGCGGCGAGGTAGGGGGGATTAATCGTCTGGTCAATCCTTCGTGGGAGGGGCCGGCGGGGCGGAGGGAAGGCGCTGGGGGAGCTTGCTTCTCTAACCAACCTTCCCCCGCCCCCCTCCCCAGAGCAAGACTTTGGCCCGGGGAGGATGGTGTGAGTTTGCGGCAGCCGGGGGGCGGGGGTGGGGCCGGCGCCACGCATGTATGCTCTTGCCTTCGCCCACCTTCAGGAAAAGGCCCGACCGGGCTCCACTTCTGGGGAAGAAGCGGGCGGGGGGGGGGGAGGGGGACCTGGGCAATCACTGCGCCCGCGGGGGCGGGGGCGAGAGGAGGGCAGGGTGGCGAGCGGCTGAGCGCGGAGGCCCCCCTCCTGATGGCCCCCCTGGTGATGGTGTGGCGGCGGTGGCGGCGGTGTGAAGGTGGGATGGACGGGCTGTTCCTCGTGTACGGCTCACCCCCTCCCCCTCCCCCCCCCCCCCCCCCCCCCATGGCTGGGCCCGGTTTCAAAGTGGCAGGGACTAGATCCTGCCCGGGTGGGCAGCAGCCTCACGCCCGCGCAATCATCCGGGGGATGTGGGGGTGCCTGTGCGTGTCGGGAATCCGGAGGGGACGCGAGAGCTCCAGCAGTCCCCCGGGCAGTGTACTGTGTTGTCTCCAGGCGTCGTGTCTCGTTCGTTCGCTCGCTCGCTCCACCGGCTCCCCTGGCTCGGTCCTTCTGGTCCTCCAGTGCACTTGGCCACGCTAGACCTAAATCCGCGCGACCTCCCCGAGACCAGCTTCTGCATTCCTTTTTCTCGCCTGGTCCTGGGCATGTTAATGTGTGCGTGCGCGGGTGCGCGGGGTGGGGATGGACCTCCACCGTGGGACATGGTGTGCGCTGGCCAGGCAGGGGAGGAGGGAGGAACGAGAGAAGGAAGCGAGGGCGGGAGGGGGGGGGGGGCGACAACATGCTTGCACACGCCGGACAGTTTCCACCTGCTGAGCATGCTGGTAGAGCCTGGCGTGCACCGGCATCAGTCTCGATCCGTCCCTATGTCGTCTCCATGTCTCAGGGGTCGGCAGGCCATACGCATGTACTCCGACCTCCGACCCGACAGCCAAGTGGTGGTGGTGGCGGGTATGTCTCTCTCTGTGTGTGTGTGTGTATGTGTGTGTGCGAGGGGGGGGGGGGGGGGGGAAAGTGACGACGGTACATGGTGGGCATGCGCCACCCCGCAGGCAGGGTGTTATCAGAATGTGGTCTACGCTCTAGTCCCAAGGATCTGGGCTTCACAAATAGCCTCCCTGAGACGCCCCCACTCCCCCTCTTTTCGCGCCCCCCCCCCTCCCCCCTCCTCTCCACCACTCGTTCTTCGCTTCCTCTCTCCCCAGACTCTCCACGACCTTCTCCCATTCTTCCCCCCCCTTTCCCGAGGCCGCCGCGGTTTCTTTCTCTTCGGATCTTCCCCCCACAGGTGCGCCCCCGCCTTCCCCTTTCATCGTTATCTGCTCCCCTCCATGCCCCGGGCTGTTGGACAACCACTCGGTCACGCAAGTAGCCCGGTCCCCAGGGCATAAGGCCTCCTTGACGCCCATGCCTGATGTGCCCTTGTGTTGGTGTGCCCCCAAGGCTGGGAGGCGGGCACAGCGGCTTACCGGGTCATCGCCCCCAATCCTCCGACGACCTGGCACCAACCCGCCCCTTGTGCTAATCCAGTTGTTTGCCTTCTCCCCCCCCCCCCTCTCCGCCCCTTCCCAGTCACCATGTCCGACTCGCGTCAGTCGGCCTTCCGGAACAACGCCCTCGACAATGACGAGCTGCGCAAGCGCCGCGACTTCCACGCGCTGGAGATCCGTCGCTTTAACCGCACGTCGATGATGATGCAGAAGCGCCAGGTGACTCCGGTGGTCGACCGCCCGGTTGATGCCTCGTCCGACCCGCACAGCCTGATTGAGCTGACCAACCGGCTGCGCTCCAACGATCCGGTTGTTCAGCAGGAGACTATCTCCACCTTCCGGCGCCTGCTTTCTGCGCGTACGCCCTTCACCCCCGGTCCTCGTGCCTGGCCTTCTCTCTCTCTCTCTCTCTCCCCCCCCCCCAGTCCCCCGCAGCCGATTGACCCCCTTCCCTCCTCCCCCTTCCCCCCCTCTCTCTTTCTCTTCCTCCCATCCCTCTCCCACCTCGCCTCCACACAGAGGTCGACCCTCCCATTCAGGGCGTCATCGACGCCGGGGCTGTCGATCTGTTCGTGCATTTCCTCCGGAGTGACAACCCGAACCTCCAGTTCGAGGCTGCCTGGGCGTTGACCAACATTGCGTCCGGCAGCTCCGAGCAGACTGCCGTTGTCATCAGTGCCGGGGCGGTTGCCATTTTCGTGGATCTGCTGCGTTCGCCCAGCGAGGACGTCCGGGAGCAGGTGCGTCCTTTTCTGGTCCCTCATGAATGCCCCCTTCTCCCTCTCCCCTCCTCCTCCTCCTTCATCTCTCTCTCTCTCTCTCCGCTCCCCATCCCTGATGGTGGTTGCTAACCCGCATCCTGGATCGCTCTCCCCCCTGTCAACATCTACTTTCCCGTCTGCCTGTTTTTTCCCTTCCAGGCCGTCTGGGCCCTCGGCAACATTGCCGGCGACTCCTCCGCCTGCCGTGACTTCGTCATCAGCAGCGGTGCCCTGAAGCCCCTGCTGGAGCTCCTGGACATGGACCCCCCCTCGTCAGAGTCTCTCATGCGCAACGCCACCTGGACCCTGTCGAACTTCTGCCGCGGTCGCAACCCCTCGCCCCACTGGGACTCCATCAGCCAGTGCCTGCCGGTCCTGGCCAAGATCATTTACAAGGAGGACAGCGACATCCTGACCGACGCCTGCTGGGCTCTGTCGTACCTGTCGGACGGTGACAACACTCGGATCCAGGCCCTGCTGGATGCCAACATCTGCCGGCGCATTGTCCAGCTCCTGATGTACCCCTCGGATCTGGTCCGGACCCCGGCCCTGCGGACCATCGGCAACATCGTCACCGGCACCAATGTCCAGACGCAGATGGTCATCAATGCCGCGGTGCTGCCGGCCCTGTCGGCCTTCCTCAACATGGACTCCATGGCCAACCTGCGCAAGGAGGCCTGCTGGACCATTTCCAACATCACGGCCGGCAACTCCGAGCAGATCCAGGCCGTGCTGGACGCCAACATCTTCATCCAGCTGCTGGCCATCATTCACAATGACGACCTGCGGGTGCAGAAGGAGGCCGCCTGGGCCATTTCCAACGCCATCACCGGTGGCACGCCGGCCCAAATCAACTATCTCATCGAGAATGGCGTCATTCATCCCCTGTGCCAGCTGCTGGATGTCAACGACACCAAGATGATCAAGGTCATCCTCACGGCCCTGGAGCACATCCTGGCCGCCGGCAATGACCCGAACCTCGGCGAGAACAAGCATGCCGTGGCCATCGAGCTGGCCGGCGGCATGGACAAGATCGAGGATCTGCAGCAGCACGATGATGACGAGATCTACCTGCTCACTTACAACCTCATCCGGATGTACTTCTCCGATGAGGATGCCCTGAGCATGGATGCCGATCACAGTGATGTCTCGCAGTTCGACTCGAGCTCCATTCAGTTCGGCCATGGCGAGGGGGCCTCGGCTGGCGGCGGCTACGCTGGTGGCTACACCGGCGGCTATGCTGGTGGTGCTCCGGGCGCCGGTGGCCAGCACATGCCGCCCAACGGCGGTGCCATGCCCCCTCAGGGCGGTGCCCCGGGCGCTGGCGGTCAGCATATGTTCAACTTCTAAGGCATATGAGGACACCCTCCCTCCCTCTCCCCCTTCCTCTCCCCCTCCCTCCCCCCTCTCCTTCCCCCCTCCTCTTCAGACTCTCTTCATACTCCGCCCCCATCTCTTCCCCTTCGCCCCTCCTCTTGCTTCACCTTTATCTCTCTCCCCCCCCTCTCTCTCTCCATCTCCTCCGCTCCACATTTACCTCCTCCGCTGCGCGATGTGCGCCCCCTTTCAAACGTGGCGCCGACTTGGAGGCCGAAAGGAGAGAGTGCCCTGCCGGTGTGGCCCCCCCCCCCCCTTGTTTGTCCTTTATCAGCCATGCCTGTGGTGCCCTTCTCCTCGCCATTGCTGTCGCCCGTCTTCCTGCGCACACCCTTGCACACCCCGGCGTTCTTGCAATATTACACTCGCCCTCATTCATGGTTTTCCTCGTCTCCCTTTTTTTCTCTCGCGGGGGGAGGGGGGACTGGCAACGATCGTGCGTCTGGGATTATGGTGGCAGGTCAGGGGGGGGGGGGTATTGTACAGATGGAGGGGCGGGCACCAATGGGATGTGGCCTCCGTGCGGCTGGAAGCTGAGGCGAAAGAGGGAGAGGGGAAATCTATCGGGAGGGGGTAGAGGTGTGGTTTCGGACACGGGGAGGGAGAGAGAGAGAGAGAGGGTGAGGGGTGTGGGAGGGGGCTCACTGCAGGGCGCCAGCCCCTTTCTACCGCCGACCCCGGCCGCCCTTGACGACACCGGCCCCGGCTGGGCCGGACTTCTTCTTGGGCTCGGCAGCCTTGGCCGTACGACGCTCCTCGCGCTTCTTGAAGGCGGCCTTCTTCTTCTTCTCCCGATCGGCCTTGTCCTTGGTCCGCTCGCGCGTCTTCTTCAGCTTCTTCAGGGCCGAGGAGCCGCCAGAGCGCTTGGCCGCCTTCTCCTCGTTGCGCAGGCGGATGTTCTCCTCGCGGCGGTTCTGCTTCTCCCGCTGAACGGTCTTCTCCGCGCGCACGCGCTTGGACCTGGGGTGGTGGAAATGCGTGGGGGAGGGTCAGTTGCAAGGTGGGGCAGGTGGGAAGGGGGGGGGGGGGGGCAGCAATTGACCACACTTGGCCCCGTCATGGGGGCAACAAACAAAGGCCCAAGGTCTTGACGCCCCCCCCCCCCCCCAGTTACAGACCATCCCACGATACCAATGCACGCACCACTCGGTCTTGGTCTTCAGCTTCTTGCGATCCTTAGTCTTGATGGCCTTGCGCAGCTTGGATGCATCGTCCTTCACGACATGTCCCTCGGCACGGGCCATGGCTGTCTCCCACTCCATGCGCTTGCGGACTTCCTCCGCCCGGACGGGATTCCGCTCGGCCAGCGAGGCGAGCTTCTGATCGCGCTTCTCCAGCTGGGCGCCGCGAAGAAGGGGGAGGCAAAAAGGAGGGTTGCACGCATTAGCGAGGGTACCCCGCAGGAATGGACAACAACAACAACAGCAACAACAGCAGCGGCAGCCGCAACAGCGAGCGGAAAGGGGAAAGGGAGCCATCGAAGCACGCACCTTCTCGAGGGCCACCTTGGGCGTGGTGCGCGGGCGCTTCAGAATGTTGCCGACCACACTGAAGGAGAAGCTTTCCTTGACACTGTCACGGCCGCGCTTCTTGTCGGCCACCTCCTGGCGAATGATGGACACCTCATCAAGGTCCGCGCCATCGGCCTCCTCATCCTGATCCGAGTCATCGTCATCAGCATCATCATCGTGCTCATCATCGTGCTCATCATCGTCCTCGAGATCCGAGTCGGCGAAGGCCGGCGCCGCGCTGATGGGCAGGTGCGTGGCCCGAGGGACCTTGCGGCTGGCCGAGCTGGCAGCCTTGGCCAGGGTGCGCTTCGCCGGGATGGCTGCGGCCGAAGCCAATTTCCGCGTGCCAGGCGCGGCCTTCTTGGCGAGTTTACCGGCACCTGGGGCCAGCTTGGCCTTGCCGGCGGCGGGCTTGACCTTGCTGGCAGCTGGCTTCATCTTGCCGGCCGCGGCGGGCTTCGCCTTGCCGACCATGGCGGGCGACTTGGCCATCTTGCTTTTGGCCCTTGGCGAGACAAGCCCCGGGGCAGAGGGAGGAGGGTAGCGCGTTAGCCAGGACCCGAGGGTGCCAACAAGGGCGAGAAGAAAAAGGCAACGTACATGAGTACCAGGTGCAGAAGCGTGTCTCTCTGTGTGTGCGTGTGTGCGTGTGTGCGTGTGTGCGTGTGTG